AAAAGTAAATGGCTAGCTTAATGCCTCATTCACACACAACGCAAGAGCAAAATTGTATATTGCGTACATGCGCGTACTATTTGCAATCTCACAATTTGTGATAGAGATGTCAATGAACTGTACGTGCGCATATGCGCGCAAACACACATATATGCGCAGAAATACAATGCCCGGATGCATCTCGGCTCCATTGTGTTTTTGCGCATTTTTACGCTACCCAAATATACGGCTCCATACACAGCTATGTGTATGGAGCCATTTATTTGCATATGCTGCATACGGTACTATATGCGCGTATATGCTCAACAGTGTGAATGAGGCCTAAGAGGGAGGTGTAGAAAGTCTATGACCTCTGGCCTGTGCAACCAGAGGAGGGAAAGATTAGTTCATAAAGCAGGGGTAGCAAACCTCCGGCCCTCCAGCTGTGGGTGGAACTACAAATCCCATGAGGCATTGCAAGATTTTCACAGACATGACTCCTGAAGAGAGAGGCATCATGGGATTTGTAGTTCCACCACAGCTGGAGGGCCGGAGGTTTGCTACCCCTGTCATAGAGATTCCCGGGTCCTACATTGTGCCTACACAGAAACTTGGAGACCATCTGGAAAAGCCAGTTTTGTAAGTGCGCAAATTGTAATTTGAAATTTCAGAGTACTTTTATTCTAAAAAAAACAAAACAAGGAACAACCCTAATGTTAATCTGAATGAACTGTTACACAATGGCTCTTTGCTTAATGTCATTGGCTTTAAGCCCTAAAGTTCAGCATTCAGGCCTGTCTGGGGTACGGTATTTTTGTATACTTTCCAAACATTTCTTTACTATTGTTTAAGTTCATCAGTCCAAATATCAAAAGCTTAATTGGTTTCTGACACATGGTAGCTATAGAAGTCTTTGGGACAGTATGATCCAACTTTCAAATGTTCGCTTTTCAAAGCACTGAGGCATGAAGAGTTATGTTGCCTGACTGTGCACGTTCATGCTGTTGGCAGGCTGTTCACTGAGAACGATGGATGCAGATCTGATGCTTTGTAAAGATTGATTTGGACATGTATGCAATGTAAAGGTATGCCTCCGTCTGGTGTCTAATACATCACACAGTTGAGATGACACTGAAGAAGACACATTGAAAATATGTTTTTATAAATGTATTTTAAAAACTGCCAGAAGTACTAATTGTAATAATATCAGCTTCCTGTTTTCCTGTATTGTAGGACTTGGAGAGGAAGTGACATCACTTTGAACCCTTAGGCTCTGCTGCATGCTAATACTGCAAGTTGCTTCTGCTCCCTCATCCTCATGGCTGCGGTGGAGCTTGACCAAGCCGCACTGTTTAAAACATACACGTCAGTAAGGGACACATTCTAAACTAGTTACAGGACTAAAATGCAAACTACCAATACCCTCAAAGTGCATGGAAGCCCCAAGCCCCACATGCAAGTGCCAACACTTCTTAATGGTGTTGAGAATTGACCCTTCCCATCTTACACCTTCCTACTGGCCATCCATAATAGTGATGGGTCAATAGGGAAGTGCAAGACATTATGAGCTACCTCCTGACAATGCTAGGGATTGTTTCCATTAACCCCCTGATTCATCTGAGCAATCGGGACTCCTGGGATGCAAAATAGGACATTTCAAGGACAATTTCACTTTTAGTTTATTCCTAAGGTTAGGTCGTGTTCATGGCAGGCACTGCCATCCAGCAAGAACAGGCATAGCCATAGAAATAAAGCCATGGTGCACATGAGAAGTATGTGCAGGGCCCAGCCAGGACCTGTTTTAGGCAAATAGATGAAAGTAGTCAATCGCACTCCATGATATTAAAGTCAATGCTGTTTATTGACTGAGATAACACACATCTCCTTAGCGACAGCGGTCCCGTCCTTTGCCTGAGGACGGGACCGCATGGTCTCGAAACGTCGCTAAGGAGATGTGTGTTATCTCAGTCAATAAACAGCATTGACTTTAATATCATGGAGTGCAAGTGACTACTTTCATCTATCTACATTTCACGGAGGCAGCCGTTGTCACTACCGCACCCACCCAGTTGGATTTGGGTTTTTGTCCGGTCAGGAGTGCGATGGGACAGGAGGATTAAGTTTCTTTTTTTAGGCAAAGGTTGCTCAGCACCAGGAAGGCCCACACAGTGTAGATCTTTTGGGGAGGGTTGAAGGCAAGTACTTTAATGTGTGGGCCAAGAGTGAACAAATGATTATGGAATTCAAAAGCCAGTATATGTCTGGTCAAGGAGCCAGCTCCATTGACACCAACTAGAGAAAACCTCAAAAGTTAGCAGCCAACTGTAATTTTAAGGAGCATTGGCTACCTGGCTCCTGTGATTTGTCCAGAACTGATGTGGGGAATACATGAGTGGGATGAAGAGACTTGAAAAGACAATTTCACTTGAAGTGAATATGTTCTTTAAAAGACATATGTAGTCACCACTGTGTCCTGCAGCCAGCTTAGAACACCTACCTTACCTAGAGTTCTGCTTTATAGTATGCAGGCACCAGCCCATACAATGTCACTGTAAAGTGAACTAAGCTTTTCTAGTTTTGTAATGTAGGGCTTTAAAATAACCATCCTTGTACGTATCACATGCATCAAGTAGGCCCAACTGACTGCCTTGCTCACCGCTCGAGGAATTACAGAGTCAGCTACGCCTTCATAATGAAGACTCTGAATTCGAGTACATTATACCCTCACAGTGCGAGTATCTACTGGTGAGATGTTACATTATTTTCTACATCCATCTGTTGCTGCAATTCCTCTAAGGCAACATGCAAAATTTAGACAATCCCAAAGGGCATGCTGGATATTTCGAGACATCTTACACTGTGCAGCAGCTAAAAGAATTAAAATAAAAGCCAATTCAAATCAACACTGAAACATTTTCATCTTTATTCTCCAAAATGTTACAAAATATTACAAAGAAACATAACGTATTTACTGGAAATTGTTCTATATACAGGACACCACTGGAGGTGAAGAACACGAAGGAATTAGCACAACCCATATATTGTGTGGCCAGACACATTTCACATGGTGGCAATGAAAATGTCCTCTTGCATCCTATACATTTAAGTCTTGGCATCCTTCCCAGAAATATCTTACATTCCAGAGTAATATGATTTGAGGCCACATTTGACAAGGACCACTGGTCAAGCAGAAACCAGTCACAATTGTGGTTACAGATTTGGAATGGGATCTTAAATAGACCAAAAGTGTTTTAACAAATGTTATCATGGACCTTCATTCCCAAGAAGAACCAGATTACAAAGAGCAGTTATGAGAATACAGTCCAAAAACAGCTTGACGAGGACCTACGGCAGGGCCAGGGTGGCAGCCATTTTTCTACTAGGCCTCTAATCTTTACAAAGCAAAAATGTCAATGGCTGAGGAGAAATGATTGCAAAATACAAGTTACAGGTTTAGGAAAACAAACAAAAAAAGTTAAGAATATTCTTTGCAGTAAATTATACACGTGATCTAAAGAAAGCCCACCAAACACGCGTGACCTAAAGAAAGCCCACCAAACCACGCATGACCAAATAAAAGCCCACCAAACCACGCATGACCAAATAAAAGCCCACCAAACCACGCATGACCAAATAAAAGTCCACCAAACCACGCATGACCAAATAAAAGTCCACCAAACCACGCATGACCAAATAAAAGTCCACCAAACCACGCATGACCAAATAAAAGTCCACCAAACCACGCATGACCAAATAAAAGCCCACCAAAACACACGTAACCAAAGAAAGCCCACCACAACACACGTAACCAAAGAAAGCCCACCACAACACACGTAACCAAAGAAAGCCCACCACAACACACGTAACCAAAGAAAGCCCACCACAACACACGTAACCAAAGAAAGCCCACCACAACACACGTAACCAAAGAAAGCCCACCACAACACACGTAACCAAAGAAAGCCCACCACAACACACGTAACCAAAGAAAGCCCACCACAACACACGTAACCAAAGAAAGCCCACCACAACACACGTAACCAAAGAAAGCCCACCACAACACACGTAACCAAAGAAAGCTCACCAAAACACACGTGACCAAAGAAAGCTCACTACAATTGTATACACACATGTATTCGTGTATCTAAACCATTACATTTTTTTTAAATGTCACTCATACAGACTTTCCCATTTGGGTCCAGTAGGTAATTAGAACATAACCAGACTGTCATTTATATATACATATATACAGTCGTATACATCTGACCCATTCTATACAAAACTTAGAGACCATGAATTCTCCGTCATACAAATGGAATGGCTTTGTCATTCCCGTCCAGTAGGTAATTACAAAGTAAGCTGACAGTAAATCGTTAATTATGTCAACAACAATAAAAAAGGAGTTTCAGCCACTCTAGCAAGCTACAATCAATGGCAGCCACCACCCCCACCCCTGATACCTCCTGTACATCACCCATGTCAGTCCAGCAGAGAAACCTTTCCCCTTGTGATCCAGATTACCCAGCTAGAAAGAAGCCAAAATCTACAGATCCCCCCCCCCCCATATATGCTCCAATACCTGGGGGTGGGATCCCCTACAGCTACTGGCATTGCAGGGCTCACCATGACTGGATGGTCTCTGCAGTTATGTGAACTAGTGGATTCGACAGACAGGGCTGTATAAGAAGTTCTGCAGCAGTAGCTGACTTTCAGCCATTAGCACAAAGCAGATCTGCTGATGGTCAGGACAATACTGACTTCTCTGTGTCTCTGCACACCAGTGTCATGATGGCCAGGGACATCTAGTGATGATCTGCTCCAGTCCCCCCATGGCATGTGACATACATGACAGATCCTATGGATTGTACAGACTGGCAGTGATAAAAGGAGGAGAGGAGATCTAGAGAGCAGAGAAGAGGCCAGCCTCCTAGACTGGGGATTTAAATGGCCATCCTTCCTGGAAGGCAGTGTCAGAGGGGAGCCTGATCTCAGCACATCTCATACACATTCACAATACGTACTTTTATTTTCCGTCTTGTTTCCTCCTATGCTGCTGTCCGATGGTCCCCCAAACGTGCAGATCGGGCAGGATGGTTGTGGATGGGGCTAGTGAAGGGCGAGCCGAGTCCTGATGTGGGGATGTGACAATTGCGGGGCTGGTGCTGCAATCGGATGACGGTCCGGCCTGTCGGTGGATGACTGTGTGTGTACGGATGGAGCATTGGTCAGCACAGAGCCTGATCGAAGCCGGGGCGGAAGGGAGACGAGATCGGCGACATAGATGACATCAAATTCGGGGCACAGGGGGGTTGCCGATGGCTGGGATTTCAGATCGGGTTCATTTATTCATCGATCTCCTGTAGGAGAGTCCGGCGGATCTGCTCAGTCACACAGCAAAGTGCGTTTAATGGTTTCTGGGAGGGAGAGCAAAGAAAGGAAGGGAGGGAGACAGACTGACTGGCTGTCTGGGGGCTTCCTTGCAAAACACAGATCTCAATGAAAAATAAATCGGGGAGAGCAGCCACATCCAGCCCTATCCGCCCCGGCTCCGTACATCGGTAACAATGGGCTGCGATAGATACAATGTTAGTACTTATAGGCATTGTGACGTCACGGTGCCCCGGAGGGTTGTCGGGAAATGTAGTTCTGCGGGACGCGACGCATGATGGGGGATGCTGCAGTGTGTGGGAGGGATCGGCCGTGTGTCCGGGCGCAGAGACAATCGGGAAGGATATGTGTATTGAGGGGATACGATATGGGTTTCTGGGGGGGACTTGGGCTGTGATCCGGCCGGGATTCGGTAATCATGCTGGATTACTAACGCTGTACTGTGCAGGGGCGTTGCCATGGCTGTGAAATCTCGCGATGTTTAGTCTGCAGGCTGTGGTTAGGTTTAGTGGTTGCTGTAGGAAGGATTTTATGCTTTTGTTTTCCCTGTGATCGGTAGATGGAGGCGAGTTATTCTCACTGGAGGAAAGGAAAATGGGAACAACCTTGCAAATGATGCCTATAGAAACCAGTCAGTGCTGCCTTTCATTATATGGGAGCAGCAAACAAGAACTGTGATTGGTTGCTATGGGAGACGCCTCAAAGTCTGTGATCCAGAGCTGAGACTCAGAGGATGGGTCAAACGAGAGAGAGAGTGTTTGTTTTCTTTCTCTCTCTCTCCCTCTCTCATTGTGTAGACACTGTTTAGGGGCTTGTTTTCAATGAATGCATGAAAAACGTGCAATGCACTTACAGTAACATTACTTGTTAATAGCACCACAAACACAGCCGGGAAAACAAGTTCCCTCTCCCCCCTACAATCACACATAAAAGAATTGGCTACATGAGCTACGGTCCCGCATTTGTCATACGTGCAGCACACGTTGAAATCAATAGACACAGGTCACACAGGAAAACCACACACGACGTACAGCTAAAACATAAACCTTCCCCTTTAGGCTGCAAGGGTTAACTGCTCATTTTTTGTCTATGGCAAGGGTGAGATTCATTTTTACAGGGGACTTAGACAGCTGTGGAGGACCAAACCGATTAACACACGGTACCGTGCAACACACTAGCCATGTGTTACAGTGCAGCAGGTTTAGGGTGACATTTGTTTGAATGTCACCCCCCCCCAACGCACCTCCTGACCACAATGTGATAGACTTCGCCACAACACACGGTAACTTAATACTGTGCGATTTAAAGTAATGCATGCAATGCACCTGCTGCACAGTACCCCATGTTAGTCGCTGCTGACTGGCCAAACCCCAACACTGCATCCACCGCTTAACATCTTTTTGTTTTTTTCAATGTCCAGAGCTGCTAAGTATACATGTGTATGTGTGGGCGAGTGATATAGTCCTGATACTCTATATAGATCGTTGGTTCGGCCACATCTGGAGTACGCGGTCCAGTTTTGGTCGCCGGTACTGAGAAGGGATGTCCTTGAACTGGAGAGAGTCCAGCGGAGGGCAACCAAACTAATTAGGGGAATGGAGGACCAGAGCTATGAGACAAGGCTTCTGACCTTAAACATGTTTACACTGGAATTAAGGAGATTAAGGGGGGATATGATTTTCATGTACAAGATGTTCAATGGTGACAGCAACATTGGCAACAAACTGTTTGAGATTAACTCCATTACAAAGACTAGAGGCCACCACCTAAAGTTGGTGGAGAAAAAATTCCAGCACAAGGGTGTCCTCAGCTAAGTATAAATGTGTATGTGTGGGGGAGTGATACAGTCCCGATAGTCCTGACACTGTCCTCAGCTAAGTATAAATGTGTATGTGTGGGGGAGTGATATAGTCCCGATAGTCCTGACACTGTCCTCAGCTAAGTATAAATGTGTATGTGTGGGGGAGTGATATAGTCCCGATAGTCCTGACACTGTCCTCAGCTAAGTATAAATGTGTATGTGTGGGGGAGTGATATAGTCCCGATAGTCCTGACACTGTCCTCAGCTAAGTATAAATGTGTATGTGTGGGGGAGTGATATAGTCCCGATAGTCCTGACACTGTCCTCAGCTAAGTATAAATGTGTATGTGTGGGGGAGTGATATAGTCCCGATAGTCCTGACACTGTCCTCAGCTAAGGTGTGAATAGGGGCCATAAGAATGAATGGGATTTTTTTGTTGTGAAGCATTTTGGCCGCGCTTATTCAGCTGCAACAATACGCTTAGTGTGAACCAGGCCTGAGGGATCTACATATGCAGGCGTCGGGCACAGAAGTCACATGTTTAGATTTTTTGTTTGCATCTCCATTGACCTGCAGAGAAGAATAAAAGCAGCTGAAACATAACAGGACAGGACATGTTTACTCAATAACAACCCAGTGCAATGCATGAGAAATGGAACAATAGACTCACTCGCTACTTTGTATTGTTACCTTTCAGATGTAAACACTTCATTCAGATCCTTCAAACATGCTTCACAAATGTGTCAGAATCACAAACTCTAAGGCTCCATTTACACAAGAGCGGCCGAACACGTGTGGAACCGCTCTAAACTTTAATGTACATTGTTCAGACTTTTGTGGCAGTCGCGCGGTACTAAACGGTGCGTCCCAAAATGAGTACAAGCACGATGTTATAGCAGATTCCGCACTTTCCGGCTATAGCAATAGCCGTAAACATGCGGAATATGTGCAGTTGTAAAAATGTTGCATTTGCATACCGTGCCATCTTCAGCACGGAAAACGCTATATGTGAATGGAGGCTCAGGCCCCTATCACATGAGCGGTCTGATCAGGTCCGCCTGTCAGTTTTTCAGCCGGACCCGATCAGACGCTTTATGGAAGTGTATGGGCATGTCCATTTACTTCAGACTCCCCATAGACTGGCATGGGGGCCGGGAACTTTCAGCTTTTTTCATCCATGGCAAGATGGAGGAAAAAAACCCAAACTGTACAGACACGGATGCCACAGCGATGACATCCGATCCGGGCCACTCTGATTAGGAGAGGATCTGTTGACGGATTGGCCAGTGTGAAAGGGGCCTGAGACCCTGTTTACATGTGTGCACTGGGGGAATGTACGCAACATCACGTGGGTTCCCACATTGCTCAGAAATATGCTCCAAGATGGAAGTTCTGGTAGATTAGAGTTAGGACCACACTACACAGAGGGGCCCTGATGAGGCAGTGCGGCTTCCACATAATTTTCAAAAGTTGTGCAACAAAAACATCAATTTTTAACCTTAGTAGTCAGTCAGTGTCTTTCTTGCAGACGGGCTGGTGAGTGTGTTGGGAAATGTTGTTGTTTGTTATGCTTGTAGGAGTGCTGTACCTTTCCCATCACACCGTGACATCTCTGGTGTGTGAAATTGCCCAGAACCCATGGTAAAGTAGCCTGCATTTTGGTGTGGTGCGCTTTGAAGAAAAGCTGCACACATTTATTTGGTGCAATTTCGGTGCACAGGACAGTCCACTGAAAGGAACAACGTGCTCTGCCCTAATGCAGAGCACGTTGAAGTGTGAAATGCTCACGTCAGCATGTGTGTGGTCGCATCTTCTTCGGTGTGAACCTGGGCTCGGGGGCCAATCACACCTTTGCATTGCAGTAGTGACCCAGCCTATACAGCACAACACATTATCGTTGTGTCAACACATTGGAACCACAGTGAACCAGGAAAGTGAAGAGGTCGCAGTACTCCTCACGTGACAATGTGGTACATTGGCAGCCCATTTAAAATGAATGGACTGCTTTACAATGTACATACGTACATGGATAGTTAGGCTGACTATTGTCAGAAAGTGTCATTTGCAGGACGTGATGAGAAATCCGACATTTTACAGAAAAAAATAATCTTCCAATGGGGACACCTGTTCCAGTGACAACTAAGAGGGGGTAACTCTCTATTTTGGAGAGAATTCCTCTAACTTACTGCTGTGTCCCTGCTTTACAGAAGCTCACCTGAGGGCTGGGGGAGCAGTGGAAAGGAGACTATAAGTGGATTGGATTGGAGGAGGGGTCCTTCAAGAGACTATCATCCTGAATGAAGAGCATAAGTGACCACTATAGATTGTGGAGAATGTCCAGTGTTATGTAAATCTATACAACTGACAAGCAGCCCTTGCTGTCCATGTATGGAGGAGGTCATGAATACTGGGACAGAAAAGAAAGTAACACTTATGGCAGGTCTCAGTTACCCTCATAATTAGGGATCTGCCCTTATTTGGAGGACATATACAAGAGGTAGGCAACCTCAGCACTCCCAACTAATGTGGAACTACAAGTCCCATGAGGCATTGCAAGACTAACAGTCCCTGGCACGAGTTGTAGAGGCATGGTAGGATTTGTAGTTTCACCACAGCTGGAGTGCCAAGGTTGCCTACCCGACATATACTGTACAATGAAGTGAAGTCATATTAAAAATGTGCCGGCATTCAGGATTTTCATGACAGAAGAGACTGTGTAAGCCTTCTGCCATAAAAGCTTCTTCTTGGCTGTTAGCAGTTTTCTTTGTTTCTGTATGTGCGCATGCGCAGCCGCTTCACCCATTCACAGATTCTTTGACAGGATCTGTTTATAGAGAAACTACAAGTTCCATCAGCCACCACGGAAGAGAGACTTGTAGTTACAATTCAATACAGGTGCAGTAACGTTACCGTACTTGTAGTCCACGGACACTTCCTCCCATCCCTGTTACTGAATGTCACTACCTCAGTATAGATATGGACAGGAGGAACATTCTGCAGGAGCCAGAGCTTTGTACCAATGAGCTACCGATCACAGTTACAATGCTTTACTGTCTCCTACCCAAAAATAAAGAAAAGCACATTTTTTTTCTTCCATGAAATGGAAC